TCTTATATTCCTTCTTATAAGAATCTTATCAATAAATTACGCATTTCCATCGACTGCCTTATATAAGATTCTTATAAGATTTCTATAAGATTTCTATAGAATTGCCGTAAGATCGGTCGACTAGGGTAAGTCCTTTATCGTATGTCTGACTAAATGGAAAGGATCATCTTAGACCAAACGTTTTGAGAGGAATCGAATGGTGATGTCAGAAAGAGTTTAAAATGCTTCTTCGCTATAAAATGCGGGTACTATTTTTGTTTTTGAAAAGCGTTAATGCCTTCATATGTATTAATCTCTAATGTGTGTGATGGCATTAGACCACTCTTAAAGCCCGTGAACGTAGTGAACGAACGAGGAAACTTTTTAATGTATTCGCTACCTCGCGTTGGAGGGTCAAAAACTGTAAATTAAGTCGGATATTTACAAATATGTACAAATTTTCTAAAGCGCTGAAGCTCAAAACGAAATACGCCATTTTGTAGAGAAGTAAATTTTCTACGAAACCATATGTTTATAAATTTATTTTTCGAAAACTATCTCGGCTAAAAATAGAAAATTCGATTTTTCAAAATGTTCAAAAACCGGTTTTGAGATTCAAAAACCAGCTTTTATCAAAAAAGCGTTTTAAACGGATTCTTAGAATTAAAAATTACATCTAGTGATGTGTTCAAAATTTTCGAAAGCGAAAATGTTTTTTTTATGAACTTGATCAGCGAAGTGTCGCGTTACGTGGACAAGCCGATTTACGTGTTTTCTACGTTATTCTGGTCATTTCGTGCCTCTTTTTTTCAATTTTCTTTCGCTTGGTTTTTCTAAATGCTTTTCGGTCTACAAGTCAACATACTTATACTGAACTGATATTTGAGAGTGTCAACGGCAAAAAAACGTTCCCGTTCCGTTGAAATTTTTGTCAGACCAACGTGAACGGCTACAGCCCTAGTGTGAACGCGTCAGACTAATCTGAATACGTGTAAACGCACTAAATGCACGAACAGTCTTTTTTATGCATTCGAACACGTAAAAAGTTTTAAGAAGTTTAAATGCTTTAGTTAATACGATATTTGAAGGTGTTGAATTTATAAAAATGTATTAGGAAAGTTAAAAAATTTAAGATTCCCAAATACATTAACTTTTAAGGTATGCGAAAACGTTAAAAGCTTTCTTTTCCATTTAAAGAGTTTAGGCGTATTAACGGACCAAGTGCCCAAAGTCCGATTGGTCGCGACATCCCTGCCTGAGTTCGTATCTATCTAAGTACCACACGAAAATAGATGGCAGAACAATATTTAATTTAGGTGTGCTAAAAACAGTCAGACACATGTTGTTCTTCTCTTCCAACCAGTAAACGTTTTGATGTTCGTTTTTTCGTTTCGAAATCGTTTTGAAAATTGAGAATTACGGGCAGAATTCCAACTTTTTCGATCCTGATTTAGCAAAAGTGAAATTTCTCAACAATGGAGAGGAATGAACATTCTATTTTTTACCAAAAAGAACTAGATAGCTTTTTACGATGAGGTCTCCACTTTGGAGATATCCTGAAGATGAATTTTTCGTGCAATGACATTACATATGGGAAGCATAAAAGGCGCATTTTCTAATTCGATTTTCAACGCTGAATTGGAAAAAAGCTGTTTGAGAGTTTCAAAATAAAAAGGAGAAAAAGTGTTCAACTTTTTTCGAAACGGGAAAGTTTTTCGGCTTTTAAGACCGTTCCCGTATTTTCGATTTTTCGACGCGCAAACGTGCACTGGGAAGGCTAAAAAGGCGCTATTTGTGATCAGCTTCAAATTCTCGATTGAATCATATATAAAGAATCTAAAAATAAAATAGTACTTGATTTTTGAATTGCGCGCGCCTTATGACTACGTGATTTATCCATGGCTGATGGGTGATTAAGGCGCGTGACTGTAGCTAGTGCATTGTGCGTTTTGATATATTAGTAACGTGTACCAAATGCACCTAAGCTATTTTTTTCCGAAAAAGCCGCGACTTAGAGATGTTTTTTCGAAGACATTAAGGCGACTAAAAGTAAAAAGAGGAGAAAATGCACCTAATGTGCCTTCAAAATGCACTGTGAAAACATTTTTAAGCCAGCCAAGTGGTTTATCAAGACACTTTTTTTTGACAGTGTACACAGTAGGTTGCAACGTATTGTAAATGGTTTGTGCCTTTTTTGATTAAAATCTGAGCTTTCTACGCTGAGATTTTCTAGAAAACCTCTAGAAAACCCCAAACAAGCCAGTAACGGCCATCTCTTTATAGTTGGTTGTTCGCCACTCATTTTTTTGAAGAGTTTGGGTTACATATTTTTACTTTAGAACAGAAAATTTTTGATTTTAAACTTTAAACTCAAATTTAAATTTCTATGCAACCAGGTAAACAATTATTAAAATTTGAGTTTTTAAAAATGTGACTAATATTTTACTGATTTTAAATGTCCAACTAATATTCATCTGTAACTGCGAAACTTTTACAAAAACTTGGATTTTCTAGAAAATCCCAAGTAAAATATTTTCATGGATTTTCACAACCGTCATCTAAAAGAGCGCAACTTGAAGTCTTCAGACCTCAATTTTCATTAAAATCGGTTTAGATTTCACCAAATCTGCTTTTGAAATATTCTTGTTCGCACGCTGTCACGTCCGTGACCAAACTTAAAATAAATTTTAAAATCACCTGCTTTAAGATTCGAAAAAATCTTCAGTGGCAATATTGTAGCCTACGCGCTTCTCTATAAAACGTAATCTTTTTTGAAAAAGAAAATTACTTTGCAGAATTTCACATTATATATGTGGTTACTAGAAAAGTTTGTCTGTTTTTGTCAGTAACTAAACACCAATATGTGGTACCAATAGAGGGGCTTTAAAGCTTTTTCCGTTAAAGATCTGCATTGGTACAAACGTTTACAAATGTCCTTGGAGTTGCCCATATGTGCTTCCATTGAATACCTGCTGACCACTTTCTCTTTGATTTGGATGGTAAAAGATTATAAGTTTGATAGATTAACATGGTAGATAAAATATTGCGATAATTATTGATAAATTTCTAAATAAAAGTTCTGGCACAGTAGTTCAAAAACACAGCTGATGCAATTATCGTTTTTTTGGGGAGAAGCAGACGCCAATCCATTGTTTTTAAGCAGATTAATTTGAATAACGATCAAGACAAATATGAAATGTTAGACATGTTTAAAGTGAATGTACAATCTCATATGGAATGCATAACAAAGGAAACACTAGAAAATGGTATTGGAGATAAAAGATATCTCTGTGTATCTTCATAATTATTTTCACTTACGATTTATTCGCGTTAAATGTTTTTCGAGATAAAACTAACTTAAAAATGGCTAACATAGTAAATATTTGAGCGGAATGGCTATTGACACCAGTACACCGAAACTCAGTCTGAGTGGTGGAGTATTCAGAAAAGTGGTGGAACACACACAGCGTCAACAAATGTTTAAGCGTTGTGATATCCGTAGAAGTGATATTTTTAATAGAAAAATAAAAAAGAGTTCGAGAAATGTCTCGAGTTGCAAAACAAGAAGAAAAAAAGCGCTTTCTTAGGTGTCATATCTAATGTGTTTAAGTCATGAGGATGCGCATGTACAATGGACCAACCCTGAGCAGACATTGACTCCAACCTATTGCACGTCCAACACTACATCAAAGTGATTTTTTTCAAAATTACGTTGAAGATAAATGGCTGTTTCAGTTTGACATTGTATGTTAGTTGGTGTCCATTTTAACCATTTTTGGTTATCAGCTTGAAAAATGTAAATTTTGGTTTTAAGTACATCGCATGCAGCCATTATTTCTGTTTCGGATGCCTGTTTTCTGAGACGATTCGATTTTGATGTTTTACAATAAAGCTCTGCAACACAGTCAACAAATTCTTCTTTTCCATATTTTGAATAATTCTTTTCTTTCATTTGTTGTATAATTAATTTCCTAATAACTGCGTGCAATTCTTCATGGCCAACTAATATATAACTTAAACACCTAAAACACACCTTGTAGAAGATAGCTTAAAACTTCTATCCTATAAATTTCAGATCTTACATACATCACCATATTACACTGTACAACGCTGACTGTTTGCAGAATTAGATGATCTCCAAAAGCCCATCTTCGAGATTTTAAATTGAAAGATTATCTGCATTTCGCCTTGTCGTTCGTTTTTCTAGTGTCACGCGTGAATTTCCAGCGGATATATTTCAACATTTTAAAAGCCCGGCTTATTTCAAAAAACGATCAGTTAAGCACTGCCAAAGTTAAGCTAAAACAGAGCTTTGTTACAAAACGTTTGTTTAATGAAAATCTTTTCCTAAATTTCCTTTTTTGCACTTTACTATTCAGCGGCGAAATGTAGTTTTTCGGGGTTTTCACTGGATTCGAAACGGTTAGATACTGTTTTGAATTTGAAAAAGAAACAACGCGCTCTCGTCCGCGTCTCTTTAATAAAATACTATAGTTAGTGGAGGAAGTCATAAAAATAACTCACGCCGTCTTCGGTGCTATAAAGTATAGGCTCCCGTTTTGCAAGTTTCTCAGCGGTAGTCTCAGTTATAGTTTTGAAATATTCTTCGAAGCATAACAAAATTAGTCTAAAACATCAGAATGAACTACGAACCATAAGATATTTTCGCTCATTATTCAATATATTCGTTCATTATCAACAGGATGGGTATTTTAAATTGGCAGATCAAGCTGTTTGAAAAATGTCTGTAAAAAACTGAAGATAACGGTATAAAAGAAGAGAAACATCAATTTCCGCATTTTATTTTACAAAAGAATCACGCAAACCAACCGTGCGCTTTAACGTCTACACCATTCTTCCAAACGGCAACAGTAAACGATTTTTTCCCAAAATACAGGTAGTACAAGCCACGGAAACTCGTATCGAGATTCAGAGTACATACAGGCGAGCATGTCATTTCTACATTGAGTCACTATAGATTATTAGTTTTCTTCCATGTAACCTTCAGAACGAAATGAAACTGTTAAAAGTTATTACCCTCCAGAGTTAGTTCCAAACGAAAATATCTCAAATTCAAAGAAGCGGCAAAACTTGTTTCCGATTTTATAATTCGAAAGAACTCATTTTGAAAAATGTTGGGCTGCTTAGAAAAATATGTTTTCTCATGTTATGAAAAGTTTTTGTGGAGGAAACCGGAAAGTTTTGAAGATTTCTTATTTTCAGAAAAAGCCTACTAGTCGAAAAGGTCAATTTACAGACTATTAAATTCTATCAAAAAATGCAGAAAAGTTGAAATGCGAAAGTTTTTTATGCCATTGGAGTTGTTATTACTTCGGCTACAAAAAGTATGGATCGCTCTTTGCGATTTTACTTCGTTTTTTAGGTTTCTGGTGAAGAAAGTTTCTCAGAGGTATGCTAAAAAATTATTTTTCTCAAGACTCTCATGATATCCTGAAAACAATTTGATGAGATTCTACGAATTTTTTTACAGTTTTCGGATTAAAACTGAAAACTTTATTGAGAAAACACTTGCTGGATTAAAGAACCGATTTTGTTTTTCTAGAAAAAATGAAATCATTCCGTGACGAAGCAAAACTTCGAAAAAAGTAATCCATACTTTTTGCAGCCGAAACAATAATAACTTCAACCACTTCAAGTTAAGCAGAGGTAGTGAAGTGGTACTTTTCCACCTTGGTCCCCGCCCCACTCCATCAGGGGCGCCGCTTCAGTAGTGAAGTGAAATGAAGTGATGAAACGACGTGAAGTCGTACTTTTTCCCCCCTGCTTTTTTGACTAGTAGGCGTTTTTCTCGAAAATGAGATATCTTCAAGTCCTTCCAACTTTCTCCTATGAAAACTTTTCAGAACATAAAAAAAACCATTTTAATGCGCTCTCTCGAATGACATATAATAAAATCGAAAACGAGTTTTGCCGTTTCTTTGAATGAGATCATGGAAAATTCGCATTCGCGGCGAACTGAGTTATATTCTTTATTATTTCAGTATGCAACATGTCTTCTTAATGGCTATAGACTTACAGCGTTTATTTCTTCCTCTTATTAGGTCAAATGCGAATCGATTGCGACTTCTCTATTATTTTTTGACTACTATCCATTTCAAAATACAACGTCCTCGGTTCTTTTTTTGAATAACCTTAGTTTGCACAGAGAGAAACACCTGCGATTTTCAGCATTATATAGCCACCACTTTAAGGCATGCTTTTGCCAGGAAAAAAACTAGTTTTCAAGACATTTCAAAGGCCGGTTTTCCAGAAATTGAAGTAGCAATCTATTGATTATTTTACATAGACTAATAGTCCGAAGTGTTCTCTACAAAATAAGATCCAAACAACCTCTTAGGTTCGCTTGGTTTTACAGCGAACACCGTTTTTCCCGAACTACCAGGATTGGACTTTCTTCTGATCTAACAAGAGCACAGAATACAGAGATAACTGATGTTCGTAACTAACGTGCCAACGTTTATCGTTCTATAAAAGTAAAATAACTTTGACTGCTGAATTAAAAAAACCGCAAGTTTTTTGTCTCTTAGCTAACAAAAGTTCCTCAAAAAACAACCGAGTACATCGTATTTTGAAATCGACAGTAGTTGAGGTCATCATCCAGGGCAGGTAACGATCGTGACTCACTCTCATGGCATCTGCCCTGACACCTTCGTATCGAAGCGGAGATGTATGTTTAGAAAGATAAGGAAATAAAACTTCCAAAATAGTTGCCATAGAAAACGCAGCTGAAATAAGGTGCCCGTAACTCAAAATGCAGAATTCGACGCTAACCACGAATATCTATATTTTAGCTTTAAGATATTAGTTTTTGAATGAAAAATCTTCAGAATGGTAGAGAGATCTCTTTTTGTTCAGATTCAGCATTAAAACTGAGTATGAAAATGATACTTGATCGAGGTTGACGTAAAAGATCTATCAATCAGGAGCGGAAAAATCGGAATTCTGCCCGTAATTCTCGATTTTCTCCACCATAACTCACTTTTAATGCAATAAAAATATCATATTAGGAGTCAGAGTCGAAAACCGAGTCGAATGATATACTTTTGTATCCCATACGATCATCGTTGGTTATTCCCAATTTCCACGTCTAAAAATTAACCCTTTACGGCCGGCTGCATAAGCCATTTAGTAACAATATCCCCTTCTGTGCATATTCCTTTTCTGTCGGCTGCCAAAAATTAACTAATAAAAATATTCCTCCCTTTA